AGGAAGGGGTTAAACTTACCTCTTTCTCCAGCACCGGGCGGGGAGCTCTCCTCCTCCTCTCCGCCTCCTCTCCTCCTCTTTGGCTGAACGCGCATGTGCGTCAGGAGCTGCGCGCGCATTCAGCCAGTCTCATAGGAAAGCATTCATAATGCTTTCCTATGGACGCTTGCGTCTTCTCACTGTGATTTTTTTTCAATGAGACAGCCACTAGAGGCTTTAGAGGCTGGATTAACCTATTTATAAACATAGCAGTTTCTCTGAAACTGCTATGTTTATATAAAAAAAAGGGTTAACCCTAGCTGGACCAGACACCCAGACCACTTCATTAAGCTGAAGTGGTCTGGGTGCCTATAGTGGTCCTTTAAGAGCATGTGCAATGTAATGATTGCAATATGTATTTAAATGTGGAACATTTAAAGGGACACTACAGTTACCAAAACAACTTAAGCTCAATTAAGCACTTTTGTTGTATAGAGTATGGCCCTGCAGTCTGATTGCTCAATTATCTGTCATTTAGGAGTTACATTCCTTTGTTTAGGCTGCCTTGGTCACAACTCACTGCATGAGCCTCCTTTGTGTAATTAAAGTTCAATTTACAGAGCAGGAGATAAAATATTCTATAGTATGTTAACATCTAATTGAAAATAAAACTTTTTTTTGCATGCAAGCTGTGTCAGTCACAGTCAGGGAGAGGTGTGACTAAGACTGCATGTTCAGAAAAAAAGAAGTGATTTAACTCCTAATGGCACAGAATTGAGCAGTGAAACTGAAGGCATGATTAATTTAAAAAAAATCTTAATTTGGTATACATTATTTTGATGCCAATTGCATCACTTTAACCCCTTAAGGACTGTGTCCTTTTTGGGGCGGACCTAAACACCAGCGGGCGGCATAGAACGGCCCTGCCGTCCTTTGTACTTACCGGGTCCCCGCCGTTCCCCTGACCGTAGTCACGATACCCCCTCTTCCAGATCCGGTCCCCCTGGCCATGTGATTGCGGGGTCCTCGCGATCACATGGCCAGAATAGCCGGCTTATGCAGTGCCTGCAGTGGGCCTGCCTGAGCTCTCAGGCAGTCCACTTAATGCCTCCAAAAAAGTTTAGAAAGTTATTAAAAGTTAATAAAAAGTTTAATGAAGTAAATAAAAATATGTGTTTGTATATAAATATATATATATATATATATATATATGATCTAAGTACTTTTATATACACATACATAAATCTTTAATAAAAGTGTATCTTAATAATAATATTAAAATACGCTTAGATTGCGTTTTATATATATATATATATATATATAAATAATCAATACATTTGAACAAAATTTAAAAAATAAAATAAATAATAATAAAAAGAATAAAATACCAGTTTTAATTTGTTCTAACTGTATTTTGATATTAATATATATATATATATATATATATATATATATATATATATATATATATATATATATATATATATATATATAATGTTCCTTTTTATCCCTGCACACACACTTTCAGATTATCCAAATGCCGGGTGCATTCCAGCCAAAGCCAAATATCATTAAAAAAGTAGTAAAAAAAGGCTTGCACTCACGGTCTTTTTCTTGTATACATATATATATATATATATATTCAAAATACGCTTAGAATAATGTTATAAATACAAATATATGTGTGTGTATATTTGATATTAAAATTTTACAAATATATTTATATAATATTTTTACATAATCAAGTCATTTTATTATTTACAATGTGAGGGACCTGACTGACAACCCAGGCATTTAGTCCAGAGAATTTGGCTTGCCAGCCCTATATTCAGCCCTGTAACTTTCTAGGACACCATAAAACCTGTACATGGGGGCTAATGTTTTACTCAGGAGACGTTGCTGAATACAAATATTAGAATTTAAAAACAGTAAAACATATTGCAAAGATGATATTGTCAGTAAAAATGCAGTTTTTTTTTTGCATTTTTACACACAAATGGTACTTTCACTCACGATATAGTTGTTGTGATACGTTTTACTATTTTGAAACACTAATATTTGTGTTTCGTTGAAGTCTACCGAGTATAACAGTCTGCACCATGAACAGGTTTCATGGTGTCATGGAGTCAAATATAACTTTTAGTAGTATGTGTGGAACTGCACTCACTCCGTTAAATTGGAGCTTGCTGAACCGGAATCAAACACCAGATTTCCAAAAATTAATAAAGTAATAGAGGTCCAGGCACTCCTTGGTTCAAGACAGGTACTTTATTAGGAACCACAACAGCAACGTTTCGACCCCAAAAGGTCTTTGTCAAGCTGATACATACATTAATTTTACAATATATATATAACAACCTTTAAACAATCACAATTATGAAATACACTTGTGAATCAGTATCCTAAGCAAATAGTTTAACAGCTGAAAGTAGTATACTACTTATCAGCAATATTTAATTAATTACATTAATTAGAAAGAGAATCTAATACTTAATTGCAAAAAACAAACAAGCTTTGAAAGACTTATTACTTTGTTGATACAGGAAAAAGAAATGTGTATATTATTTTTATATGGATACTGACATAACATCCAAGTGTATATAGTACATAAAATACACATATACATAACATAAATACAATATAAAGATAAGACCAGAGTATAAGATTAAAGAAATTTCCATTATCGATTAGAAATCCTTGATCAAAATCACAAAGTATTAATATTAAGTATCCTTAAAACATAAAGCACATCAAGTTCAAAGAGTTTTCATATATAGAAGAAAGTGTGTATAAAAAGATGCCCTTAAGTAAGTTATTTCCATTATCGATTAGAAATCCTTGATCAAGATCACAGAGTATTGCTATTAAGTATTCTTAACACATCAAATTCACAGAATTGTTATATATAGAAGAAAGTGTATATAGAAAAATAACCTTAAATAGGCTATAATGACTCATTTGGAGTCGGTGTATATAATATCTGCATAATTTAAAACTTTTAAAGAGACAAAAATTTGACTATAATCGCTGTAGGTAATCGCGAAGTGCAAAGTGTATAGGAGTCAAATGTAAGGCTTGAATTTCCTTTTTTTCACATTGAAATTTGCCTGATTGGTTATGTTGCCTTTGAGACTGTATGGTAGCCCAGGATCGAGAATTACCCCCATGATGGTATACCATTTGCAAAAGTAGACAACCAAAGTTATTGCAAATGGGGTATGTCCAGACTTTTTATCAGCCACTTAGTCACAAACACAGGCCAAAATTAGCATTCAATTTAGTTTTTTGCGTTTTTCACACACAAACAAATATGAATGCAAATTTGGCCAGTGTTTGTGACTAAGTGGATACTAGAAAAGGCTGGATATACCCCATTTGTAATACCTTGGATTGTCTACTTTTGCAAATAGTATGCCATCATGGGGGTAATTTTCATTCCTGGGCTACAATTTGGTCTCAAAGGCTGCATAGCCAGTCTGGCAAATTTCAATGTGCATAAAATGAAACATGTAATATGCTATATTTGACCCTGTAACTTTCCAAAACACCATAAAGCCTGTACATTATGGGTACTGTTTTACCTGTGAGACATTGCTGAATACAAATATGTGTACTTTATTGCAGTAACAGCTAACAGTATTGTGACTTTCACTGTTAAAATGCCATGCAGAACTAAAAAAATAACTTCTAACATTTTTAATTTCTTTTATGTATTTTATTTATATTAAATTATGTTAAATATACAAATATCTGATGTGACATGAAAACCGTGTTTCTCCTGAACAAAACGATATATGATAAGTGTGGGTGCACATATATGAAAGAGGTGAATTATGTCTGAATAGACATACAGCGCAAATACAAGGTTTTGTTTACATTTTTCATCACAACTTGTACAATTGGCTTAGTCCTTAAGGTGTTAAACACAGAAGATGGTCAATTGGTTTATAAGTTATGGGGGCTGGCGCTATTAATTCCAGGAGGACTTGCAGTCCCTTTTAGTGGGATGGTGGGCATTAATTAGTTCCAGAGGGATTTGGTATCTTCCAATACTCTAGATTAACAGTGCCACGGGTCTCTAGTATTCTGTTTTATTCATAGAATAATTTCTTTTCCTTTACAATTAATGGTTTATGGGTTTAAGTGAGAAAATATTTTTATACTTTAGTGTTGCACCTGCAAGTTGAACATTGCTCCTTTTTTCTGCAGGACTAAAATGGTCACATTTAGAGTTGAGCGGATACCTGGAAGTTTGGGTCTGGCGGGTTCGGCCGAACTTTGAAAAAAAGTCCGGGTTCGGGCTCGAACTTGACCCCGAACTTGACCCCGAACTCGAACCCCATTGAAGTCAATGGGGACCAGAACTTTTGGCCACAAAAATGCCTCTAAAAAACTCCTGGAAAGGGCTAGAAAGCTGTAAAAGCAAGTAAAATGGGGGTAAGAGTAGGACAAGTGCCCTGCAAACAAATGTGGATAGGGAAATCACTTAAAATAACATACAAATTAAAAATACAGCTGAGCCATAAAATAGCACTAGATGGAATCTTTGATTTTAGCTTTGGAAGAACATAAATCAAAATCTAAAGCATGGCTGTCAGGAGGATCAACAGAATTATCCATTTGAGAGAGAGTTGGAGTGCAGGGTATTCTCTATCATTGTTCAAACTGAGCTCAACTCCTGATGCATGGAGAAAAGGCCTTCATAAGCCTCTGCTATTGTGTACATAGTTTATTCTAAGTGACCCATAGGTTAAGGAGGCGGTGACCGTGGCGGTGGAGGAGGAGGATGAGGTAGCCAACACTGTATTTTATGTTTTTTGGTTTTTTTTAAATTGTGGTAGCCCACAAAATATTGGGACATAGAAAAAAAGAAAAATTTGCGGCCTGTGGTGCATTTCTTGCAGTCCTGATGCATGGAGAAATGCTCAACTCCTGATGCATGGAGAAAAGGCCTTCACAAGCCTCTGCTAATGTGTACCTAGTTTATACTAAGTGACCCATAGGTTGAGGAGGCGGTGACCGTGGCGGTGGAGGAGGAGGATGAGGTAGCCAACACTGTTTTTATATATATATATATATATATATATTTATTTTAATTGGGGTAGCCCCCAAAATATTGGGACATATAAAAAAAGACAACTCTGTTCCGTAGAGTAGCTGTTGACATTACAGTTGCGCAGGAACTTTGTTGACTCTAGAGAACCCTGGGCAAATCGCACATCCCCGTGTCGGCGACTTTGCATGCAGATGTCATCCATATCAACTTTTGATGCCAGTTTCTGCGCCTACCATGGTGACCACGGGTAACGGGCAATCAGGGTTCCATTCCGTACAGGGACCCTGAGAAACGACTACCACATGCAAGGATGCAGCAGGCGCACAAATGACCCACTCCCGACGCGGGAAGGTAGTGACGACAAATAACAATACAGGACTCTTTAGAGGCCCTGTAATTGTAATGAGTCCACTTGAAATCCTTTAACTCTGATCAATTGGAGGGAGGTCTGGTGCAGAGCCACTGACCCGTGCGTGCTGCAGCTGAATCTCCACTATCGCCTACTGCTGCTTGCACAGTCTCATGAGGCGGTGAGCGGGAAGGCCGAAGTTAAGCTGCAGCTCAGACAGGCGAGCAGCAGGGTGACAACGCCAAAAGCGTGCACAGCCGGTACAGTAAATTCACATCCTGTTCCAAGTTGCGGATCAGTCTGGTGATGGCTTCTGGTATCCAGTACTCTTTTTACTGAAGCTGCATCAGGGTCCTGGTATGTGGCCGCACAAACGTTCAACACCAGGGGCGTGCGGTTACCCTGCACCAGACCCTGCTAATCCATTCCACACTGTGACTCCTAACTTCAACATCAGATATACTGGGTCCCGGTCATCTGACCGCCGCCCAGACAGTGTCTGGGTCCTGGTCACCGGACTGCCCTGGTCACCGGAATGGATCGTTATATCTGGTACCATCCCAGTCTATTATGGATCCTTTGATCGCTACATGTATTACTTGGATAGCTGGTAATTCTCGAGCTAATACATGCCAACGGCGCTAGGGGACGGCCGCTCCACTTTTGCACCCTGCTCCCTCTTATGCTGTGCTGGTGCCTCTGTGCGAACAGCGCCTCTTCCTCCAAACTGCACACGTCACTTGCATGACCTTGATTCCATGTGGGGTCTAGGACCTCATCATCCTCTACATCATCTTCCACCCACTCCTCAACCCTGCCCTCCTTGCCGGTATGCACACTGCAGAAAGCCTCAGCAGTTGGCACCTGTGTTTTTCCAGCAAGTAAAGTCTGCACAGGACATATGGAAATAGTTTTAGAATTTCCTCCAGGCAACAGTTTTTCCTATAAACTGACCTCTCAGTTTGACTTGTGAGGGTATTGCCCCAGATTTACAATATTGTTGAAGTACCTCTTAGCTATTGATCACTCGTTTAAATATAGCAGCTTGTTATCTGGTAGTTTCTACTGTAGAAAATATCAATCTGTTTTCTATCACTTAGATCTGTGTAAAAAGTGTTGTAGGTGTGAAATAATATTACAAGTGACCGATGTAGTAAATTCTAATAAAATTTACGCTTCGATTTGACTCTCAGATATGAAGTGAACACCCAAAATATACTAGTTAGTGCCCCCAAAAAATTGACTTTTTAAAACTCCAATGTAAGCAGCAGATTAGCAGTAAAACAATTAGAATGTTTACCACTGCGCAGTAAGCACACTATTTTAAGCTTCTATTTGACTCTCCGATATGAAGTTTACCTCACCCTACTAATGTACTAGTTTGCAGAATTCTTTCCTAAGCTGTCCCTATCAGCGGCAGCATCCTCTCCCTACACTAATAAGACCGCATGTGCTTGCGGCGCTATGTCACAACAACTTATATATAAAGGCTGGGTCACATGCTGCACTGGCCAATCACAGCCATGCCATTAGAAGGCATGACTGTGATGGCTTCTAAGGGCACGCGAGTCAAACATTTGTTAATTGGCTGCCCTGTAGCCTTTGAAAACGTGCCATTAAATCGCCAAACACCGAACTCCAACCCGAACATACAGTGATATGTCCTTGTTCGGTTCCGGGGTCCAAAAAACCTAATGTTTGGTACGAACCCGAACTTTTCAGTTTGGGTTCACTCAGCTCTAGTCACATTAGAGCAAAGCAAAAAAAAATCATGTAATTTAATGGTTTAGAATCTTGAGGGGAAAAAAAGTGTTTGTTTGTTTGTTTTTTCCATTGACATTAGACTTTACAAAAAACATATAGAGCACAAACAATATAAAAACAGTACAAAAAACAATACAGAAAATACAAAACAAACCCACCACCCTACGAGAGTTCTCAAAAAAAAATTCCATCTTTTACTACGGATTAGATAAAATTGTGATTTACATCACCCTTAGTTTTTTCTCCCAACTGGCCCATAGACTAGAGTTGCTATTTAGAAATTTACAGTGATCTCTCTCCATCTTAAGTTGGTAGGCAAGTTGTGAAGTTATTTGTTTGATGGAATAAACATTGTTCCCCTTCCAATTTCTTGCTATTACAATCTGAACAATGTGTGATCAGAAAAAGTTCAGGTTTCTTACATTTTGTTCAGCTACAATGCAATAACATTACTTCAGGTTTTAAAAATATTTTTACATTACATAATTTGTAAATAATAAATTGAGACCACTTCCAAACTACGACCACTTTTTTACAAGACCACCACATATGAAGGTAATTTCCTTTATGTTATACAACAAATATGTGCACAATGTGGAAAATAGTCAATCCGAAGCTCTATACACCTCAAAGTGGTGTCCCCTCTACCACTTTAAAATCAACAGTATACATACAAAAACAAGATGGAGCTTAAAATGGCAATGAAACAGATATTCTGGAAAATAAAATATAAACAATAGCGCAATACAGTAGTACAAAGGAAATTGGAAATGTATATACAGTAGATTTTTCACTCACAAGCCTGGAGTCATAATCTAATATGACTCGAATGGTGTATGCCTTTGGACCATTTCAGGATGCCCAAATCCTTCTTTCAAGCAGGATTCCGTTTATCTTCCCCTTTAACCAACTCACAGACAAAAGTGCCAGGTCAGTGGTAAATTTCCAAAAGGGTGATGCTTTATTCAAAATAAAAACTTATAATAAAAAATGTTAAAATAAATTCAAATATAACAATTTGTGGTTTAAATAGGGCTATATAGTCCTTAAAAATCGCCAAAACGCGTTTCGCCTGGTAAAACAGGCTTCCTCAGTCGGCTTTTTTTCACTGTTCAGTCTTTTTCCAATTTTTAAAAGTCCGTTTGTTTTTACTTCCGGGTTCCGGTTTCTGTCCATTTGGAACGCAATTATGCGTTCCAACGATGTCATTTCCTGTTGTGTCACTTCCAGATTTCTGTTTCAGTTCGCTGGAACGCATCGTGCGTTCCAGCGATGTCACTTCCTATTACGTCACTTCCGGATCTCGATCGGCTGGAACGCACAATGCGTTCCAGTGGCATTGTACTTCGGCATCTCTGCCATTTCAATTAGTCCACATAATATCCAGTTATGGAGGTCTGTTTTACCTATATATGCACATATATTAATAAACTCTACATGTGTATTAGCAATATTAAACCATGGAAGTCTGTTTTTACACATTTATATATATGTATCAATAAACTTCACATATATAATAAGAGTTCTTTGCCTATCTAATATATCAAACTTCTTTAACATGAGCATGATATAAACATTTTAAAATGCTTCTGCAATATAGAAATGATAATAATATGGACATTTCTCCTTATAATATCTTCTCAATATAAAGATAGTGTAGATATCCCAAAGGTGATCTGGCAATATAAATATTTTTCCTTAAAGTGCTCTTGTGTATTTTCATTAAAGTGCTCTTATATATTTTCCTTTAAAGTTCTCTTGTAGTGCTTCCAGAGTCTCCATAATCATATTCAGAAACATATCATTTCAAAAACTCAGAAAAAAAAAAAAAAAAAACGAATTGTTTTAAAAGGTATCCATATTAAAAATATCCATAAAATGTAAAAATTATCTACTAAAAAATATATTTCCATAATAAATAGTAGGGGAGTTCAGTTCATGAAATGACATAGTTCGAAATCTTGGTTTAAACCATGAGGTGCCATAGTGTTAAAACTGAAAATAAATCTCATTTCCTCTATTCCTATTTTTCTAATGTAATCTCCTCCTCTCCAATCTTTCTTAACCAATTTTATTGCACAAAAAAACATTCCTTCGGGGTCTTGATTATGGAATGTCTTAAAATGGTTGGAGACACTGTGTGACTCCAATCCATTTTTTATGTTCCTTGTGTGTTCTGCTATTCTCGTATTCAGACATCTAATGGTTCTCCCTACATATAGGAGGTTACACTGACACTTCAGAACATAAATAACCCCTTTAGAGTGGCAAGTTAAATGGTCTCGAATTTGAAATTTTTGATTTATCCAAGGCTTCATATCCGTTATGTGGCGCTTCCTGCTTTTAGTGTTTCTGCACGCTAGGCACTGACCGCAACCATAAAAACCTTTATTCTGCCTTAAAAAATTCTTATCAACCAAAATTTGTCTATCACTACTTTGTACTAAAGTGCTCTTGAGATTTTTTGCTCCCCTATATATGATCTTAGGTCTTTCTGGCAAAATGTTTTTTAGGACCGGATCATCTTGCAAAATATGCCAGTATTTATTTATGATTTTATTGACTTTTTTGTGATTCCCATTAAAATTACAAATGAACGGAACATCTCTATTCCATTTTTGTTTCCCCTTTTTATCTTTGTATATTAAAAGGTTCTTCCTAGGTATTATACGGACATCTTCTAGAGCAGTTTGCAAATCTGTTTCTGCATATCCTTTTTGCAAAAATTGGGTCTTTATTCTCCCTGCCTGTGACAAATAGTCTTCATCATTAGTGCAATTTCGCCTGATTCTCAAAAATTGTCCTCTAGGTGCATTTAATAGCCAGGGTGTGTGGTGACAGCTCTCTTTTTGAATATATCCATTTGCATCCACTTCCTTAAAATGATTCTTTGTGGTAATGCAAGTATTGACGATGTTGATATCAAGATCTAAGAAGTTGATACTTTCTTCACTTATTTGTGCCGTTAAAACAATGTTCCATTCATTGTTGTTTAAAAAAGTAATAAAAACATCCAGTTCTATCCTAGTTCCCGTCCAGATAAAAAATATATCGTCGATGAAACGACGATAGCACACCAAGTCCGTCACCCAGGTATGTCCTCTATATACAAACTTCTCTTCCCAATACGCCATGAATAAGTTTGCATAACTGGGAGCGAACTTGGTGCCCATCGCCGTTCCTCGAATTTGTAGATAAAAGACGTCTTGAAACCAGAAAAAATTGTTTGTTAAAATCAAATGGAT